CTGGTGGTCCGAGGACCAGGTGGATCGAGGACAGGTGGCCCGTGAGGTCCGAAAGGTTGGCGACTGCTGCTTTAGTAGGTGTCTGGGGATTAGAATTGGAGTGCATGGGAAGAGATTATTGTCTTCCTAGAGCTAGTAGTAAGATAGGGATCAGATTATTTAACTAGTTTAAGGGAAAGAAAAAAACTCAAGGCATTGGGATTAATTGGTTTATCTTAAAGAAATTATAGGCATTTTATAGTGTGCATATATGAAGGAACATTATATAAGTATAGGTGACTAGCTTTTATTCACTTTGAAGGGGACAAAGGAAGTTCCTGAACAATGAATATAAAACACTCAGAAGAGGCCCTGGCCAGGTAGCTCAGTTGGTTAGAGTATCATCCCGATATACCAAGGTTGCAGGTTCAATCCCCGGTCAGGGCATGTACACAAATCAACCATTGAATGCATAAGTAAGTGGAGCAACAAATCATTCTCTCTCTCTCTCTCTCTCTCTCTCTCTCTCTCAAATCAATATTTTAAAAAAAGACATGCAGAAGAATTTCCTGATTTTTTAAAATATATTTTTATTGCTTTCAGAGAGGAAGGGAGAAAGGGGAGAGAGAGAGAGAAACATCAATGATTAGAGAGAATCATTGACCGGCTGCCTCCTGCATGCCCCCTACTGGGGATGCAGCCCGCAACTCGGGCATGTGCACTTGACTGGAATTGAACCCAGGACCTTTCATCCGCAGGCCGACGCTCTATCCACAGAGCCAAACCAGCTAGGGCTCCTGATTTCAATAATAAACACTGGGAGGGGTGAATAGGGGGGATGATTTCTTGGAATGGATTTTCAACTCTGGCACCATTTTGGAGGCAGCAGTGAGAAGGAAAAGAGCACAGAGCCAGGGATCAGAAAACCTGGTTATAGTCTAGGCCAGTGGTCGGCAAACTCATTAGTCAACAGAGCCAAATATCAACAGTACAACGATTAAAATTTATTTTGAGAGCCAAATTTTTTAAAGTTAAACTATATAGGTAGGTATACTGTTATTAACTTAATTAGGGTACTCCTAAGCTGGCCTTTGCTAAAATAATAATAAAGCCACCAACACAAAATAATTACAATTCTTAAATTGATGACAAAAATACCTGTAGGATTTGCAGCTGGTTGGAAAAATACAGGTAACTTTATGCTTCGAGTAGGTACTTTTGTCACCCACGCTCGATTTGCTGACGCAACTAGCACTAACCACTGCACAATGAGACTGCTGACTGACTGGCTCACTCAACTCATGCATGAATCGGGAGCGCCTCCCCCACGCTGCATATACCGCGGCCGCCTGCGCCGCGTCTCCCGTCGCCCGACCAACACCCCCCACTTCTTCTAACGTCACTTCTTCAAAATAGACTCTCCCAGGCCGAAAACTGACTTCTGTGCATTGGCCACGAAGTTTCAATCGCACTGTACGTGCGCCCGCACATGGTATTTTGTGGAAGAGCCACACTCAAGGGGCCAAAGAGCCGCATGTGGCTCGCGAGC